TATGCTATGCTATGCTATGCTGCGCTATGCTGCGCTATGATATGATATGCTAAGCTATACTAAGCTATGCTATGCGATGCCATGCTGCTCTGTGCTATGCTAAGCTATGCTATGCTATGCTATGATATGCTAAGCTGCGCTATGCTATAACATGCTATGATGTTGTATGCTATGCTATGCTATGCTGCGCTCTGCTATGCTATGGTATGCTATGCTCGGATTGGCTATGTTATGATATGTTATGCTATGCTAATTCAGCGCTTCGCTATGCTAAGCTAAGCTAAGCTAACCCTCTAGGCATAGCCTAGGTAGGGAATTACACCCATGCTAATTACCCGAACAGAAAACTAAACTGGCAACGCGGTTGGCACACACGAGCAACGCTAAGCAACGCTAAGATGAGATAAGCAACGCTAAGCTAAGGGGACGTAGCTGGGGGAACCGCGGGGCGGATACTGGGGGAACCGCCCGGGCCGGTTCCCACTGCCCGGCCCTTTAAGCCAAGAGAGTAAGAACCCTTCTAGGCAGAGCCCAGGTAGGGAATAAAAGGATTCCCCATATTTGTTCCATATTTTTTGGATTTTCGTCTTCCCCCCCACCTCCCATATTTTCGCATATTTTCCTGGGGATCGACGATTCATTGTGTCTGTGTGTTTTTGTTCCCGCCTGAGCATAGCAGCTCTGAGAGGCCCGCGCGGATTTCCGAGGTCGGCGCCGCCCCCCGAGGAGGAGGAGGAGGAGGAGGAGGAGGAGGAGGAGGAGGAGCAGGGGGAGGGGGAGCGCTCCCCCATCCCCTCCTTGGCGGCGCCTGCAGGGCTCCGCGCGCCAGGGATGGGGGGGAGGGTCCAGCGCTGGCCCGGCATCGGCTTCGGGCGAAGGGGATCCTCAGCAGAGGGTCGGGGGCGGCAAAGAGGGGGGTGATGACTAGGGGGGGGGGATATCATGGCGTGGGCCATGATATTTCCCCAGATTTCATAGCCTCTCTTCTCATTTCATTACGTCCCTGGCCCCCCCGCTGGGCCGCGCACATGCCGCCGGTCATGATTTGGACCCCTCCCTCTTGGACACCCCCCTCTCGGCCGCTCCCGAGCAGAGGGGGGTCTCGGAGATGTGCCCAACAGATCGTGCAGTCGTTGGCGCGGAGTACGCACGGCGCACAATAGTGACCCGTGGTTTCCACGCGCCCTGCGACAGAGGATGAACCCCTTTCTGCTTGTGTTTTCACACCCCCCATCACGAAAGGGCCCCCTTCCCCCCGAACTGGCAGCACATCTGCGCGCGGACCTCCCAGAGCTCATGCGTCGATGGGTACGGTGGGGGCCGTCGTCAAGGAATGTGCCTTGGATCAAGGGCATAAAAAAACGCCCCTACCCTGGTTTACGAGGCGCTGTGCGCTGAAACTCCTGTGGGCTGACAGGGTAAAACCTGCGTGATGTGCCGCGTCCTGGCGGCTCTAGGCCTTGGGGGTTCCCAGGAGGTTTACAGACCACGCACTTGTAACCCAGGGTAGGGTCGTTTTTTTCGTCCCTCAATTGGAGGCAACAGACCCTAGAGGATTCCTTTATCCGCAGAGGGCGGCGGTGGTGTCCGTGGGCAGGCTTCCTCGATGGGTGCTCCACCAGCTGCCAGACCCTGGACTCCGGATCTAAAGTCGGTGACATGCGTCGATGAGTACGGTGGGGGCCTTCGTCAGGGAATATGCCCAGGAGGCTTCAGACCATGGGGAATTCCATTTTCTGATTAGGGCGGCGGTGGTATCTACGGCCAGGCCTCCTCAATTGGTGCTCAACCAGCTGCCAGACCCTGGACTCCTGGTCTAACGTCGGCGGCTATGGAGGGTATGGTCACGCTGCGGTCCCCCAGGCTACTCCATCGATGGACCCGCACGAACCCCCAGGGTCGACCTTAGGCGATATACCAACGGTTTCGCGAGTCGAAGCGTTGCTCCCATGGGGCGTACGTTAAGTTCAAGCGCCTGGGCTTTCCGCTAGAGCGTGGCTAAGGGATAAAGCTAGTGTGTGCTCCTACTTTGTATTGATCCCCATGACTTTTCCACGCGTCAGGTGTGTGTTTCAGGCTGGGACTCTCTTGCGTCCGTCGGCTTCGAGACCATCGCATTGTTTGTTTGGGGGGCACCGCTATGATTGCAGGGACATCGAACCGTGTTTCAACTTCCCCAGCCACACTCGTGTTCACGGAAGTTGTGCGAGCTACGACCGTCGGCGCCAATCATGTGAGTGCATGCGTGGGAATATATTGTATCGCGCATGTTGCACAGCTGCAGCATATACATATATATAGGTATGTGCGTATGAACATGTTTCCATTGCTTTGCATTGACGGCGCACCATATATTGCTAGACACACACGGTTTGGGGTCCACGCTGGCTAACATCTTCTAAGGCAGTGGTCCTGATTGTCGCCGTCGCCGCCCCATCGCCGCCTCGTCGCCGCCCGTCGTCTGGGCCTGATCGTCGATCTGGCGGCTATGTTGTCGCCGCCGCCGAACCCGTCGCCGCCTAGTCGCAGCCTTGCAAAAATGCACCACGTAGATTGCACCACATTGAGTGCACCACGTGGATTGCACCACACAGATTGCATCAATTCTCCTTTCTGAAAAGACAATAGACTCTACCCCCCCCTCCCCCTGGCGTTCGCCGCCTCCCTTTCGGGTATGTAAACCATGTATGATTCTGACCACATGTCCATCCGAAATATGAATTTACAATGTCAAAATGGAGCCAGTATAGGCCCCCCTGAAGTTCCCTGGTAAAAAACGATACGCAGGGGCATTCTTTGTTCTAACATAACACATGTTCACGAATCCCTTGCAACACAAGTGAGACGAAGTGCACACGCGCGCGTCGTCGCGCGCGCATGCCGAAATCCTTCAAAAACCTGCGGCTTCGGAAGGATTTCGAAAACGAGCTTCCAAAAGAAATACAAACACTCATTGTTTCGCAACACTGATTTGCTAAAAAAGCCTACGCGCGAGCTCTTGCGAAATCTTAAGAAAACCATGTTTTTTTTTCAAGATTTTCACAACATGCTACCAAGCGGGCTTCGCGCGCGCGCATGTTGAAATCTGTCGAACGCCCTTGCGCGTGTGCCGTGGCGCAAATCCTTTGCAAACACTGGGATGAGGTGCAGACGCGCGCGTCGTCGCGCGCGTATGCCGAAATACTTCAAAACCCATCGGTTTCGGAAGGATTTTAAAGTCGTGCGCCCCAAAAAACATACAAAAACACAAGGCTTCGCAACACGGATTTTCAACAAGAGCGTGCGCGCGCGCTCTTTCGTCGTCGTCGTCGTCGTCGCCGTCCTCCCTCCTCCCGCGTCGTCGTCGTCGTCGTCGCATCGTCCTCTGTCTTTCCTCGTGTTCGTCGTCGTCGTCCTCTTTGTCGCCGTGGTCGTCCTTCCTCCTCCTCCCTCGTCGTCGTCGTCGTCGTCCGTCGTCGGCGTCTCGTCGTCGTCCCTCCTATTTCGTCGCCGTCGTCGTCGTCGTCGTCATCGTCGTCGTCGTCGTCGTCGTCTTCCCTCCCCCCTCGTCGTTGTCGTCGTCGGCGTCGCCGTCCTTCCTCCTTCTTCGTCGTTCGCGTTGTCGCCGTCCTCCCTCCTCCCTCGTCGTTGCCGTCGTTGTCGCCGTCGTCGTCCTCCCTCTTCCCTCGTCGTCGTCGTCTTTGTTGGCGACGTCGTCGTCCTCGTCGGCGTCGGCGTCGGCGTCGGCGTCGTCGTCGTCGTTGTCGTCGCCACCGTCGTCGTCGTCGTCGTCGTCGGCGTCGTCGTCGTCGTCGGCGTCGTCGTTGTCGCCGTCGGCGTCGACATCGTCGTCGTCGTCGTCGGCGTCGGCCTCGTCGTCGTCGGTGTCGTCGTTGTTGTTGTCGTCGTCTTCGTTGTCGTTATCGTCGGAGGCGTCAGCGGTGTCGTCGTAGCTGCTGTCGTCGGTGTCGTCGTAGTCGGTCTTAAGAGGTTTTGCAAAACAAGTTGCGGGTGGGTGGGTGGGATGGTTGCAAGAGCATGGGATGTGTCAGATTATGGGCAAACGTCAATTGCACCACATAGATTGCACAGCATAGATTGCAACACATGGATTGCACAGTTTATATTTCTTTCTGGAAGAATATTTGGGTCGACCCCCCGGGGTTAAGCGGTCACCTTTTCGCATTGCAATTTGCACATAATTCTGCCCCATCGTCCATCCCAAATATGAATTCATACCGCCCCAGGCAGGCTGGTATCGGCCCCCCGCTCACCCTCTGCAAATAATAATATGCGCGCGCACTCCTTTATCACAGCGTCAACCGTTTTCAATAATCCTTTGTATCAAGAAACGGGGCGAAGTGCACACGCGCGTGTCGTCGCGCGCGCATGCCGAAATACTAGAAAACGAGTGTCCCGAAACCATATGAAAGCACATGGTGTTGCAACGCCAGTTTTCACAGTAATCCTGCGCTCGCGGCCTCTGTGAATTTTGCAGAAAACCTACAGATTCACATACTTGTCATTAGCTTATGCCAAACGGGCCTTTCGCACCGCATGTCGATATCCTTCAAGCGCCCTTGCTCGCGTGCTGGGGGGCACGACCCGTGTCGACTAATGCCTTGCGGGCGCCTCGCGCGTCGGCCACGCGCGCGTGTCGAACTCGTGAGACAACCGTCATTGCCGATGGGGGAACGCCGTCATGGGCGTCGGCGTGATCAGCATCGGCGCCGTCACTGGCCGTGCCGTCGCCTTTGTCATCATCGCCGCCAGCGTCGCCACTATCATCATCGTGTCTAGTGTTGTCGACGTTGCCATGATACCGCGCCCGCCCGAGTAGCCGACTCGCACTGACGTGCCCACTTGGAAGTGCTCAGGGGTCGGCGCTTCCGCGGCCGCGTTGGCCGCGCCGCACTAGCTGGCCGCTGCGCGCGCGAGCATGCGCGGGCTATCGCGGCCGCAGAGATGCACCAGTCAATACCAAGCACTCTTCGCAATCGTCGCCACATGTGTTTTTTAATTCAAGTTGCGGGCGGATGGGTGGGATGGTTGCGCGAGCAGTAGAGTTTACAACAACGAATTCCACAAGTGAGGTGCACCACATACATTCCACCACATGTGTCGCACCACATATGTCACCCCACGCAAGTTGCACCACACAGGTGTGCAACGTAGTTCGCGCATCATATAATGCACACCGCAGATTGCCCCGCACAGACTGGTCAGCATCGGTCAAGCACCATATGTTGTACACCATAGACTGCACGCCATAAGTCGCACCACATCGATTGCACCACATCATGTGCACAACATATATTGCTAGAAGCAAAAGATCCGCGCTGGCTAATATTTGCCGTCGGTTGTTGAAGGATATTGGTCTCTTCGGGGCCTTTTTGGGCGGCTCGAAGGGCACGTGGCGCCGTGATGGGGGTTGCCTTGGGGCCTCTTAGAGGTATGCCTGGGGCTATCTCAAGCCATCTTGAAGTAGCTTGGGCGATCTCGGAGGCCATCTTGCTCGCTCAGGGGCCCTCTTGCAGCCACTTGGACTAACAATGATCCTCTGCCACCTCGCGGGGCGCCCCTTCCAGGCGGGGGAGGGGGAAATGTAAACCCCTCTCCCCCTCCCCCCCTCCTTCCACCTTAGCCAGAATTTGAGAGCTCGCGAAGCGTGCGATGTTCTAGTATGTATGGGTGTAAACACATATATATATATATACATAATCACTCGCGGAGCGATTTTGAGGCAATCGTGACTCTGCGGACCAGTTTCGGGTGGAAGCAAGAGTGAGTTGACGAACAGATCAAGTATCGAATGTCTAGAGGCATACGGGTGCAAGGTGCAGGGGCCTTTCCCCCCCCCCCAAGCTCCTTGTCAGCCAAGGGTCGGCCGCAGAGGTGCCGTGTGATCAGCGAGGGTTGCCTGCAGGATGACATGCTGCGTTACCACATCGAGGCTCGCAGCTCTTCTTCACCCTGCTCCTTGCGGCCGATGCCCATCCTCTTTCTTCTCCACCTGATCTCGATCCTGCTTCCCAGACGTGATCGCGTCGTGAAAACATCTCGACGGCTTTGGGCCGTGTTTGGCCCCTGGCCCTGTCTGGGCCCAGGGGCTGTTAACAAACAATTCGGGATGAAACATTTGCCCTTGGAAAAGGCCCTTCCTGCCGCTCGATTCTTCGTGTCATCAAAATTCCATGCTTGGGCCTGATTACAGTCATCAGGGTGCAATCCTTGGAGCCGGCCAGCTCATTGTATTGCCAGGAGTCCGTTGCCAGTGCGTCCAGAGCCAACTTTCGCGTCTGGTGCTTTTCATGCTTCCAGAGTTTCACACCCAGGCCTGATCTTTTCAGAAGCAAATCGTGGGAGCCTTGCACACCCTCGTACTTCTGTCTTTAGCGTCGACTGGCGTCGACTAGCGCCTGGAAATCGTTGAGACAACGCCGAGGCAACGTCGGTGTGCGTCGATTTAGCGTCGATTAGCGTCGACTAGCGTCGATTCGCGTCGACTCGCAAGATCCAGCAAAATGGCATGGGAGGCTCACGCGAGTTGCCACAGAAGGTTCTTGAGCACCTTCCAGCGTCCGGGAGAGGCTTGGGGAGCAGCGGCATCGGTGCTTTTCTGGGTTCCCCGATCCTCCCTTCCTTCTCCTCCGCCCCCTCCTCCTCCTCCGCCTCCTCCTCCGCCTCCTCCTCCTCCTCCTCCACCTCCTCGTGCTCCTCCTCCTCCTCCTTCACCTCCTCCTCCTCCTCCCCCTCCTCCTCCTCCTCCTCCTCCTCCTCCTCCTCCTCCTCCTCCTCCGCCCCCTCCTCCTCCGCCTCCTCCTCCGCCTCCTCCCCTCCATCCTCCTCCTCCGTCCCCAAGCTCCCCACATATGGGAGCCAAGCGTCCAGCGCGTCTTGCTGGGGGCCTCTCGGACTGGCGAAAAACGTTGCGCGACGGCGGACGTCTGCGCCCGCGCTTCGGGCCTCTCCTGGCCCTCACGGGCCCGTCCGGCCTCCGCAGAGGGGTCGAGAGATTTGGTCACGAGTCTCTTCTACAGTCAGGAGGGGAAGAAACACACAGACACAATGGATCGTGGATTCCCCAGAAGTATGGGAAACTATGGGCAGTGGGGGGAAAGACAAAAACCCAGAAGGTATGGGAACATATGGGGAATCTTTTTTATCTGTGTGTATTTATTTGTGTGTCCTGGGGCCCCTTCATACAGTCAGCCCCCCATGTAGGGATGGGCAACTTTCCCAAGGACCGGCTGCGCCGCCAGAGGTCTCGGAAATCTTGGAGCGCATCCTGAGCCAATCTCACAGTCGAGGCCGACAGTAAGGACGAGCGACTTCCCAAGGGTACCCGTGCATCCTTGTCCCCTCTGCCCATCCTTGGCTATTTTTGTTGGCCGCGCCCCTCTCGAGAAGCTTCGACGTGGGCGTCCAAGGCCCCAGAATCCTCATCGCGCATCCCAATGATACGGGCCGACTGTAATTCTTCACGCTTCGCGCATCCCCACCAGCCCATCTCAAAACAGCAAGTCTTGCGAAGCATGCCGACAGTCGTGTTTTTCAGGCGTGTTTCCGCCTGCCCCCGCATATTTCCCCTGTTCCTTCTTCCTCCCGCCTCCTTGTACATCCTCCTTGTGGTGGGAGCGGGAGAAGGACGCGGCGGAGGAGGAGGGAGAGAAAGCGGTGGGAGGCAAGAGGGATTTAGCGGAGACGACGACCACAGCGATGACCCTAACAACGACGACGCACCCGACGACGACGACGATATCGACCGCGACGACGACGACGACCACAACCGCGACGACGACGACGACGACGACGACGTCGACGACGACGACGACGAAGGCGGCGGCGGCGGCGACGACGACGACGACGATGACGACGACGACGACGACTGGTGGGAGTCGTTGGGGCCCCTCGTGGGGTGAGTCGTTCGGCCCCATCGTCCTTGTTTGAGTCCTTCGGGCCCCTCTTCCTGGTGTGAGTCGTTCGGGCTCCTCGTGGTGTGAGTCGTTCGGGCCCCTGGTCCTGGTGCGAGCCGTTCGGGCTCCTCGTGGTTTGAGTCGTTCGGGCCTCTCGTCCTGGTGTGAGTCGTTCGGGCCCTTCTTCCTGGTGTGAGTCGTTCGGGCTCTTCGTGGTTTGAGTCGTTCGGGCTCTTCGTCCTGGTGTGAGTCGTTCGGGCTTCTCGTGGTGTGAGTTGTTCGGGCCCCTCGTCCTGGTGTGAGTCGTTCGGGCCCCTCCTCCTGGTGTGAGTCGTTCGGGCTCCTCGTGGTGTGAGTCGTTCGGGGCCCTCGTCGGTGTGAGTCGTTCGGGCTGTGGTGTGAGTCGTTCGGGCGCCTCGTCCTGGTGTGAGTAGTAGTCGTAGTAGTAGTAGTAGTAGTAGTAGTAGTAGTAGTAGTAGTAGTAGTAGTAGTAGTAGTAGTAGTAGTAGTAGTAGTAGTAGTAGTAGTAGTAGTAGTAGTAGTAGTAGTAGTAGTAGTAGTAGTAGTAGTAGTAGTAGTAGTAGTAGTAGTAGTAGTAGTAGTAGTAGTAGTAGTAGTAGTAGTAGTAGTAGTAATAGTAGTAGTAGTAGTAGTAGTAGTAGTAGTAGTAGTAGTAGTAGTAGTAGTAGTAGTAGTAGTAGTAGTACAAGTAGTCGTATCCAAGGCAGTTTGGAGGCCTCTTGGAGATCGTAGAGGGGCCTCTTGGGCTCTCTTTTGAGCCTCTTGGGAGCGTCCGGGGGCCCTCTTGGGCGCCTCTTGGAGCGTCTTGGGGGCCTGTTGGGGCCATCTTTGGGGCGATCGATCACAGATGGGGCGAGCATTTTTGTCAGTACCCCCGTCGGGGCCACGATCCTCGTGAGGGGTGTCGAATTTTAGCCCTCCCAGGGATAGAAAAAGGACCCTCTGACCACCCGCGAAACCCCCTCTCCAGGTCCAGGGGGAGGGGGTAGGGGGAGGGGTAAACCCCTCCCCGAAGGGGAAGAAGGGGGGTTGAGAACAGAGAGAGCTCGCTAAACCACTCACGCCCAAAGGGCTGGTGGGATTCGGTCATGTTCTTTTTTCACGACGTCGGAATGCCGGGGCCGCGGTGGGGTTGTGGCTTGCGTTAGTCATGCGTCGCATCAGCAAGCGCCACCCTCACCCCTCACACGTGCAGACGCCCCCTGACCCTCCAGGTTGGCGCGCTGCTCTGATACACAGGTGGGGGTGGGTCCCTGGAGGCCCGACCAACCCCCCCCTTACCTCAGAGGACGATGACGAGGATGAGCCAGGAGGACGCCGTGCGAGCGCGGATGAGGGGATGAGGAGGGAGGAGGGGAGGAGGAGGAGGAGGAGGAGGAGGAGGAGGAGGAGGAGGAGGAGGAGGAGGAGGAGGAGGAGGAGCAGGAGCAGGAGCAGGAGGAGGAGGAGGGGAGGGCCATGAGTGCAAGGCGAGCAAGGCCGGCCTCCGCCGGGGCCGCCCCACTCTGCCCTCGTCGGCGATCGACGCTCGACCCGTGGCCCTGCTGCTGCCACCCACTCTGGGCGCCAGGGGCAGCAGGGAAGGGCTACGAAACGTGGCTCCTCGTGGGGTCGTGGGGGTGAGCAGGAGGAGGAGGAGGAGGAGGATGAGGAGGAGGAGGACGAGGAGGAGGAGGAGGAGGAGGAGGAGGAGGTGGAGGAGGAGGAGGAAGAGGATGAGGAGGAGGAAGAGGAGGAGGACGAGGACGAGGAGGAGGAGGAGGAGGACGAGGACGAGGACGTGGAGTCGTCCTCGTGAATGTCGATCGCCTACCTCGGAAGCGTCGCGCGGGGCCACGGCAGGGATCACGTCGTCCCAGATCCTTCTGGGACGTCTCCCCGGAGCGTCGCGAGGCCGCTCGGAGAAGGCCGCGGCGCCTGATGCATCCTCCACGACCGCCGGATCTCAGAGATTTCTCCAAGCACCCCCCTCCGATGCCGCCCCTCTCCTGGCCTCGCCTCAGAGGGTCTCGCCTGCGCCATCTCCGACGCCATCTGCGCCGCCGCCGCCGTGGAGGGCGCCCACCCGGGGGCGCGCCGCGCTGCCACGCCGCGATCCGCGCCCGTGCAGCGAATTCGTGCTCGAGGTCGCGGGGGCCCGGCGGCCGCGGCCAGCAGGCGTTGGGGGAGGGCGGCAAGGAGGGGGGTGATGACTAGGGGGGGGGGATATCATGGCGTTGGCCATGATATTTCCCCACGTTTCATGGCACCTCTTCTTCTTTCATTACGTCCCTGGCCCCCCCGCTGGGCCGCGCGCCTGCCGCCGGTTAATGATTTGCACCCCCCCCTCTTGGACACCCCCCTCTTGGCCGCTCCCGAGTTGGGGGAGGGCGCCGAAGAGAGGGGTCCAGGCCAGGTGTGTGCGTGTTCCCAGACGCCCTCGCGCTGCGAGCAGAATCGCGACGGAAGGTTTTCCGCTATTGCCGGCCACTGGGGGCCCTCACGGGGCCTCGGGACCGTCAAGGAACGATTTTGGATGGAACACCGGTCCCCGGGGAGTGGGCCCGTCCCTGTGGTGGTCGCGTCATGGAGATATAATGACGTCGGGGGTCCGTGTGTGTGTGCGCGCGCGTGCGGCCCACCGCGAGTGACCTGGTCAATTACCGCTGGGCGGACCCCTGGTCCCCACGCCGCGTGATCTGGCCCGGCCGCGCGCGTTATTCCTCTCGGCTACCTTCGCCGCGCCGCCGCGCGCGTGGCCGCGACGCCAAAAAGTTGGTGTGCGTGCGTGCGAGCGTGCGTGCGTGCGGGCGTGCGTGCGTGCGTGCGTGCGTGCGTGGATTTCATGGCCCAGGCTCGCGTCGCCACCCAGATCCCACACGCCACTTCCCTTCCTTCTGCCTCGGCACGTCCTCTGGCCCCCGCCCCCCCTCGCCGGTGCACACGCTTGGGGCCGTGCTGCGCCAACCTCCATCTTCCTGGCCCACCTCTTCGGCGCACCCAGGGGGGCGCGCGGGGGGGAGGGCGGGCCGCGGCCGGGTTGCTCTGGGAGCCGCCCGCGGATGGGGCAGAGCCAGAGCCAGAGCATCTGCTGCGCTCGGCTTCGGATGCGCGCGGAAGCGTCTTTGCTGCTCGTGTCGGCAGCCAGCCCAAGGGGAATTTGAGGAGGGGCGGGCCTTCTCAGAAGGCTCGGAAGTCCCCGGCCTCCTGAGAAGTTTTCCGAGCCTTCCGCGAGGACCCAGCGAACCTCTCAGAAGGCGCGAGGGCTTCCGAGAAGTTCCGCCGCCTTCTGAGAAGAAGGCCTTCTCCTTCTCATTTCCCCCCTCGCTCGACGCCGATCGTGGTAGCCCAGGCGTGCAGCCAGGGCGCCAAAACTCGGGCGGGGCCAGGACGAGAAGACCTCCGTTCCAGAGCGCTGCGGCACGCTCCCGGAGCGCTCTGCAGGGCTCTGAGGAGGCCGCGGCGCCCGAGGCCTCCTCCATAGCCGCGGGGTCCCAGAGGTCCTCGATTTACAGTCGGGGCGCTGAAGAAGGAACCTTTTCTCGTTGGGGAGGGGCTCGGTGTTCCTTGGTTGCTTCACAGTTTGCCTCAGATGTTCTGGAGAGTTTCGATGGGAAGTCGAGGTTCAACGTATGGGAAACAGGAGCCTCGTTGCCTATTTACCGTTCCTTAGGTCAACGCCCCGACGGTGTCCTCACTCCATTTTCTATCCTCGTCCTGGCCTCGTTTTAAAGTCCAGGTGTGCAGTCAAGGCGTTGAAACAGGGACCGCTTTGGGGCTCTCGAGAGGAGGAGGAGGAGGAGGAGGACGAGGAGGAGGAGGAGGAGGAGGACGAGGACGAGGACGAGGAGGAGGAGGAGGAGGAAGAAGAGGATGATGATGATGATGATGATGATGAGGAGGAGGAGGAGGAGGAGGAAGAAGAGGAGCATGATGATGATGATGAGGAGGAGGAGGAGGAGGAGGAGGAGGAGGAAGAGGTGGTTGCGGAGGGGGATGAGGAGGAGGAGGAGGTGGAGGAGGTGAAGGAGGAGGAGGAGGAGCAGGAGGAGGAGGTGGAGGAGGAGGGGCTCTGGTCGTCGGGGCCGCTCCCGAGACCCAGGTCGGGGCGCCTCTTCGTGGCCGCGGCCCGTCGTGGCCTCCGAGGGCTCTTCGCTCCCCCCCCCTCGCCGCGCTCTTCTTGGCAGCACGACGGCTGCGGTAGGTTTGCGTCGTGTCGACCAGCGGCGACCCCAGCGCGGGCGTTCAAGGTTGAACGCCGCCGGCGACCCAGAATCGATCGATGTTGAACGATCGGACGTTGCGGCAGCGGCCGATCGTTCAAGGTTGAACGATCCCTGCGGTGTCAAAAACCAACGCTGGGGTCGGCACGACACGGACCTGCCGTACGTTTCAGTCGGGCCCGTCCCTCTGCAGGAGGAACATCCAGAGATAGCCCCCAAAACGTAGTCGGGGGACGACTGTTGGACGGTTCTTGATTTTTTTTTGCTTGTAGCATCATTTTGGGGGTATGTTTTATTTTTCGTATAAAGAACCCGCCTGTAGGGGGAACATGCCCGACCTAGTGCTACGTGGAAGTTTTTGTCGATTTTACAAAAGAAGGAAAAAACAAAAACGGTGATCTCTAAGCACTGCACAGGAATGAGGTCACGCAACCAGATATTGGTGCCAGAGTGGCTTCTTCCGAAGCCTGATGCACGAGGTGGTTCGACGCAACGGCATGTGGGGCCAGGGGGGCCCGCGCCCACAGACGCGGTCCACCCCGGAGGCAAATAGTTGCAGGGGCCTCCCCAATGCCTACTAACGCTGGTCTCGGGGGATCGCCCTGGGGCCCCCTGGCGGCGCCTCCGGCGCCGCCCCTGGCGCGCTCCGCGCGCCAGGGCGGGGGATCCGGCGCGGAACCAAGGTATCCGCGCGGAGCGCCAAAAGTGTATGTTTATGTTGTTTTTTAGAGCTGGAAAAAAAGTGTGACTGGGACCAGCCCTTCAATCTTTCCAGCTCTGGCCAGTTTCTCTTTTGTTTTCCCACTGCCAGTGTTTCCAGCCTGCCCGACGACAACTGTGACGAAAACGAGGACTACGAGGACGACTGGCGAGGCCGACGAGGTCGACGAGGTCGACGAGAACGACGACGACGACGACGACGACGACGACGACGACGACGACGACGACGACCGCCTCGCCCTCCTCATAAGCCCCTGGACGCCGACGTTGACTACAGTTAAGTCGGCCTGTCCCTCTATAGGATGAAATTTCAAAAATAGTCAAAAATAGTCTGGGGACAATTGTTAGACTATTTCTGGCTACATCTCATTTTTCGTCCAAAATCCGCCTGTAGGAGGACATGTCCGACCTAATGCTACAGTCAACCCGCATAAAAAGGATGGGCAGCCTTTTTAAGGGTATCCTCACATCCTTGCCTCCTCGGTCTCTCCTTGGCCGCTTTTGTTGGCCGCGCCCCGCTCGCAGAGTGTCGCCCTGGCCTTTCAGGGCCCTTGCATACTTACCGTGCATCCTTATCATGCGGGTTGACTGTATCTTGGGCCAGCTTGGTGGCCATCTTGGGCTGTCTGGAGCGGTCTGGGAGACATCCAGATCCTCCTTGAGACTCTTTGACGGCACGCGCACATCCCCGCCCACATCCCCGGGAAGGGGGTTTGGAGTCGGGGTGATCCAGGCCACCAACGTGGGGCCAGAGCAGATGTGGTCGAAGGATCGCGCCGCATTGCAGAGGCATCGGCGATGCATCTCGATCAGGAGGTTGACTTTCAGGAGGAGGAGGAGGAGGAGGAGGAGGAGGAGGAGGAGGGAGGAGGAGGAGGAGGAGAAGGAGGAGGAGGAGGACATCCCAACGTCCACAGTGCATCGCATATGCATCGCCGACGCGTCGGGGAGGCGGCGGGAGACCCTCCGGCACCGCCTGCTCGGGCCCCGGGTGAACCACTCCCTGGCAGGGCCCTCCCTAACTCGGGGATGAACAGACCTCCTACCCCGACACGTCGATTAAGGAATTGGCCGTTTTCGGTTCGCAAGAGGGCGTCGCGGCCGTCCTTTCTGCGGGTCCAGGTCCGTCGGTTTCGGTCCCATGCCGTTTTCACAAAGGAGGTCTACTAAAGGGAGGTTTGTCCACCGCCGACTAACGACAAGACGGGCTTCTTTTGGATGAGCTGGGCCCAGTGGGCAGTTGGCATTTCTCATCGTTGTCACGGAACCTTCGCTGCCCATTTTTGCGCCAGGGCTAGGCATTGGTGTGCACAGAGCATGCGGGCAATATGTTTTCGGCGTCACCCCAACATACTAATATTATGTGTGTGTCGACCTCCAGGGGCGACGCGCGTACCGAGAAATCTTGTAGTATAGGACTCTTTCTGGCCACATACTCAGCTCTGGAAACGATATACTGTGATATACTACAAGATGGTATACTATATGTTCGGGTCGGAGTCGCGCTTCCAGGGGGGACATCTAGTATTAGTATGTCTCTGTGCGTTGCATGTGTCCCTTAAGGCCTCCCCAAGACTTTCAATCAGTGCGCGTTGGCCCACCTTGCCGGGTGGAGCTGCAACATCATCTCGACATGCCCTCGACGCATTTATTACACATGATTTCGGCATCGGGCCAGTCTCCCGCCCGTAGTTATTGCTCCTCCAGGACCAGGCTGTTGTGAAGCTCCGCATTGACATGTCTCACCAGAGCGGTGGGAGGAAACGCGACACCAACACCATCAGGGGGCTTACCTCCAGCGAGGAGGTCCACGATGCCTCCCCGAGCTGGAGGCTGGGGATGTCTCGAGCGAGAGGGGGGAACTACACCACCATTGAGACCCCTCTTGCCTCCTCGCATCTCCTCGCCCTGGTGGTGCTGCTGTCGCCTTTCCTGGTTTCTAACCAGAGAGAGGGAGAGAGAGAGAGAGAGAGAGAAAGAGAGAGAGAGAGAGAGAAAGCAAGAAAAGAGAGAGAGAAAGAGAGAGAGAGAGCTTGATTGACGATCTGCAGATAGGAACTGAAGAAGAGCGAAGAATGGCGTCGCCAGAGCGAGCTCGGAGAACCCGAACCAGGCGGAAGTCCCGCCGAGAGCGGCTTCCGCTGCCCTCGGGGAATTCTTCTGAGGTCGAGTGCGTGCAGGTTGGGCACGTCCGAGAAGAAGCCGGCTTGCCAGATGGCGCCCTGTAGCCGAAGGCTTGACTCCTCGACGGTCCCCTGGTCAGAGGAGGAAGAGGTACCCATGCCTCTTCCCGTCCCTCGTGTTCCCCTTTCTCGGCCTCCTGGGCGGCCCTCGTGCCGCCGCCGGATTCGCCTCGAGATCCGGGAGCAGAGGTGTCGGTACCTCTTGGTTTCCCCACCGGGGGTGCCCACAGCCGTCCTGGCGCTGCTTCAAGTTGACGACGACGACGACGACGACGACGACGACGACGATCTTGAGCCATTTGGGAGGCCATGTAGGAGCCATCTTGGCCCCTAAAGGGCTCCTCCGCCCCGGTCTGGCGCTGCTTCAAGTGCCCCCTGACGTTTGGCTCCCCCACTCCACCCCCTGGCCAGACCCAGGGGAGCGGGTAGGGCCAGGGGTGCCCGGTATCCCCCCCCCCCCGCCGACGTGGAGGGAGGTTGGAAGAGGACACCCCATGCACCGGGGCTCGACTCGAAGGGTATTTTTGGCGATTTCCATGGCCGTTTTCGTTCTGGTTTCGTTCTGCAGCAGAGGCGGAGCGAAGACGACCCGAGGGCAAAAACGGAGGCAAGACGCAGACGGAAAAACACGGTTCCGGTCGAGCTCTGCCGTGGACCGCCCGCGCCCAGAGGGCGGGAGGGATCTTCGCCCGGGAGGGGTATACCGAGGCCAGGGAGGGGCCCCCCGCACCCTGTCCGCGGTTCCTGCCCCTGCCGCTCCTTCCCCCGTCCTCCCCCGGGAGCCGCCGGAAGCCACCGAGCACCCCGAGATCCCCCCCCCCTCCAGCATGGCCCCCAGGATCACCCCATCGACCCCGGAGGGGCTGCCCTCCTCCCTGCTTCCCTCCTCGTCTGGCACGTGGTGCCTCCACCCCAGCTCCTGACACCTGCCGGTCCCCACAGGTGCGCGCGGAGGCCCAGCATGGCTCACGATCGACAAAGACGTATCCACCACGCCTCGAATCCTCTCCCCCAATGCTCCAGGGCCGATGGTAACACTTTGCATCCCCCTTACTTAGCGGACGGGGGTGCCTGGGAAGTTTGTACCCCCACGTACAGTCGGACCGATGTAGAAGGGGAGGTTACCTTCGAGGTCGCTTCGGGGAGGGTATCCCAGTGCTTCGTGTTTGTTGGAAGTTCTTGTGCACCCTGGGGAGGGTACCCTTGGACGTCCTGTGCGTTTTGGCCGGCGGAGGGTCTTGCGTTCTTGAGGGATGTTCTTCTACCCCAGGTTCGGCTTCTACCCCAGGTTCGGTGTGCCTCCGAAGGTGTGAACAGCTTCCGAGCCGCATTGGAAGTCCCGATGGCGGAGGAGTTTGCGTTATACCGTGCTTCGTCCATGAAGGTCCCCCACCAATCCTCCTCCTCCTTCTCCTCCTCCTCCTCTTTCTTCTCCTTCTCCTCCTCCTCCTCCTTCTCCTCCTCCTCCTCCTCCTCCTCCTCCTCCTCCTCCTAGCCGCCATACGCCATCTCACTGCCCATCTGGCGCGCGGCACAGCGCGCCGCTGCAGATGAGCACGCCGCTGCCACCAACGAAGCGCGCCGTGCTAGGGTCCAGCGAACCCTTGCTTCGGTCCTCCACTCCTCCCTCTACCCCGACAAGTTCGCAGAGACCCTAGCGCGCCGCCTCTCGTCGGCTCTCCCAGAAGTCGTGCTCCCTCCAGCCCTGCCAACCCGCTGGAAGGAGCTTTCAGAATACCTTTCAAAGAAAGCACCAGCCATCCGCTGGGCTGTCTTTAAAACGCTAGCGGGAGCGTGGTAGACCAGCCACCGATTCTCGTTTGGACCGCGCCGCACGTGTCTGCTCGGGTGCGAAGCTTGCCCAGACCGTCTCGGCCACTACCTCACCTGTCCCCGCCTTCTGCACTTCCTCGCGTTACCCCGTTCCTTTCTCTCCTCGGACCCCCTCGTGCGAATTGGCCTAGGGACGTCAGAGCAACACGCAAACCCAGAGCACACAGTTTCAGAAGCTGTTCGCAGGACAGCGCTTTCATTTCACTTTTACAACAAACTGCGTTTCAGTACGCACGCCGCGCCCCGCGCCGCGCTTCTTTACACTACAGGCGCTGAGTGCCTAGCTGCTGCACTGCACGCGATGCGGCCATAGACGAGACAAGCGGACGCGTGGACACTTGCCCTCTTCTCGCGTCTTGCCCGCCTGCCCTCGTCTCGTCCTTTCTTGGTACGGTCGCTCCTCCTCCTCCTCCTCCTCCTCCTCCTCCTCCTCCTCCTCCTCCTTCTCCTCCTCCTCCTCCTCCTCCTCCTCCTCCTCCTCCTCCTCCTCCTCCTCCTCCTCCTCCTCCTCCTCGCTTCTTCTTCCTCCTCCTCCTCCTCCTCCTCCTCCTCCTCCTCAGCCTTGTGTATGATCGTTCTCCTCCTCCTCTCGCCATTCTCCTCGTCCTGCTCCTGCCTTCTGCCTGCAGCCTTTCTCCTGGTCTTCCTCCCCCCTCCTCACCCCCTTCCCTTATCTCGTCCTCCGCCTCCTCCTCCTCCTCCTCCTCCTCCTCCTCCTCCTCCTCCTCCTCCCTCCTCATTCCTCCTCCTTCTCCTCCTCCTCCTCTGCCTCCTCATTTCTCCTCACTGCTCACTCCGCTTCCTCCCTGCCTCCTCCTCCTGCTCCTGCTCCCTCCCTGCGTCCTTCCCACTTTCCCTCCCTGCCCTTCTCGCTCCCCCCCCCATCCTCCCTCCTGTCAACTCCTCCTCCTCCCTCCTCTCCTTTCTCTCCCCCCCTATTCTCCGTCATGCTTCTCCTCGCTCCCCGCTGCTCTTCCTCAGCACTCCCTCCTCTCTCCTCTCCTCTCTGCCCCCCTGCCCCCCCCCCTCTCCGCCCCTCTCCCCTCCTCTCCCCTCCTCTCCCCTCCTCTCCCCTCCTCTCCTTGCCCTCTCTCCGCATCGCCCCCCCCCCCCCCCTCCCTCTCGGGAGGGAGCGGGGGAGAGCGAGGGAGAGCGAGCGAGCGAGGGAACAGCAGGCAGGCAGGCAGGACGTGTAGCGACAGCCAGGCGCCCAGAAGCGCTACGACTTCTCCGTCGACTGGATCAACGACCAGCTCGTGCACGGCCTGCCCTCCACCCACGACGGCGCCAGCAGCTCCTCGGCGGGGCGCCCCAAGCAGCTCTCTGCCTTTGGCGAGCCGCGCCGCGGCGCGGAGGGGGGGCGGAGGGAGGCGGGAGGGGAGGGGAGGGGAGGGAGGGAGGGGAGGGAGGGGAGGGAGGGGAGGGAGGGAGGAGGGGGAGGGAGAGGGGAGGGAGGGGGAGGGAGGGAGGGGGGAGGGGAGGGGGGGGGGGGGAGGGGAGGGAGGCGAGGGGAGGGGAGGGAGGGAGGGAAGGACGAGGGGACTCGGAGCCCAGCTGCGCAGCTCGAGGCTCCACGGCCGGCTCGACGGCTCGAGGCTCGAGGCCTTCGGGCGCGCTCGCCGGCTCCAGGCGGGCGCTTCCGGCTTCGGGGTGCGCTCCCGCAGCTGCGCCTCGCCGGTGGCGCCCCGGGGGCGCCGGAGTCGTGCGGAGCGGCCGCCGGTGCTCTTCAGGCAGTGGCGAAGCGTCCCGGCTCGCCGATAGCCCGACCAAGCAATGTTCTAAGAACCTTGTGTGGTTCCCACGAAGTGTTCTTCGAACATTTCTGGCTTGGACTGTCTTGTTTTAACACATCGGGTTTATGTTCTAAGAACATTGTTTCTGTTATTCGAACATGTTTTGGGTTCTAAGAACATGTCGTGGTAGGACTACAGGAATGCCAGGCCGGTCGGTCCCTGCTCAAGCTCTGGGCTTCTTGGTAAGCGTGGGCCCCCGCCCCCCTTCGACGGGGGTCAGCCTGCCCCCTGCGTCGAAAGAGAAGCACGTGTGAGCTCGAGGGCGCTCGCGCGTCGTCCGAGAGGCAGCCGAATCGTCTTGATTCCTGGCGCAGTCGAAGGACTGATGGCCTGCCATAGCCACTGCAATGCGAGCTGTCATCAACATTTTCTCTGCCCCATTACCTGTAGCAGGACACGGCCTCTGAGCCGAGCGGGGGTCAATCTCGCCTCGTCGTCACGCCGCGACGGGGGTTGGAGCGCCTTCGGCGCGCGGTGGCTGCCCGCGACAGGGGGCGATGTGGGGCTGTCGGCGGGGACGACGCCCCCCCGAAGCTTTTGAAGAACTCGGAGCAGGGAAACAAACAATGACACAAGCACAAAAACTTGAAGGTCCGCGCGGATTTCTCGGCTCGGCGTTGGAGACCTCCGCCTTGGCGCGTGGAGCGCGCCGGCGGCGGCGCCAGAGGCGCTGCCAGGGGACTCCGGCGCCGATCCGAGAAATCCGCGCGGACCTCCGAGTTGTGATCTTTCTGTCATTGTTCGTTCCCCTACTTTTGTTCTCGATGATGGGATGCTCTTCGCGGCCCTGGCCATGCTGCCCTTAGGTCGAGCATATCCCCCCAAGGACGACTTTTGGACGAAATAGAAAGCATAAACATGAATACGCCAATAATTAAAACATCCCCCAAGTAATCAAAACACATTCCAACGATAATCAAACAATACTCCAAGCAATAATCAAACTAACAATTTATCAAATAAAGACTCCAAACAAATCCGCGCGGACCTCCGAGCTTTTATCTTTGTGTCATTGTTCGTTCCCTCAGCTGGAGAGCCGAGTTGTGACCCGAAGAGCTAGGGGCAACGTGACGGGGGGGGCAGGGTCAGGAACTTTTGCTTCGCGTGTCCCCGCGGCGGCCCCGTCGACACGCTACGCCGTGTGAGGTCGTACAGTGGAAGCCCATGCCAAGAAACACCCTGCTTGCCTCCAGGCTGCTCTTTGGGTTTCTTGGGTTCCGGAGGGTGGTTTGCCATGGGAAGCGTGACGCTCCCACGCCAAGTACCAGTGGGCGTCCTGGGGTCTCAGGTTGGGTTTCTTGTGGAAGGCTTCTCGTGGTCGAGCTCCCACTGCAGCGTGTCGCTCTTCTCTGCGGGGCGGGAGGCTCTGGGGGAAGCTCTCGGGGTGTCGACGGTCCGGGGCCGGGACGAGGACAGCGTACCGCGCCGGAGCAGGGATGAGATATTTAGAAGGAAGAGGGCTGCAGGATGAGGAGGAGGAGGAGGAGGAGGAGGAAGAGTCTCTTCCGAAGAGAAGGGGAGATGTGGGGGCAGAAAAAACAGCAACTCCTCCTTCTTCCTCTTCCTTCTTCCTCCTCCCCCTCCGCCTCCCCCTCCGCCACCCCCTCCGCCACCCCCTCCGCCTCCCCCTCCCCCCTCTTCTCCTCGGTCGGTCGGTCCATCAGGGCATAAGAAGGCGAAGGCCAAAGAACAGGTGGTGGCGCGGAACAGAGGTGGGGCAGTGCGCACGCAAGAGAATCACAGATTTGGCTCCGCCGCCCCCGGGGCCCCCGCAGGGCCCATCCACGTGAGAGCAGCACGCCGAGGCAGCATTCGGGCGAACGTAGAGCACCGTGGATTGGTCAGGTACTGTCCAATCCACTCACAGTCGGGTCGTTGAGAGCCTGATGGCAGGAAGGAGGACAGAGGAGCGCGAGCAATGCAAGGCCAAGCTCCATAAGGGATGATCGGACGGGTGCCACGCATCCTCCCTCCCTCCCTTGCTTTGGTGCGTATCGGCTTCCCGCTGCAGTAGTCGAAATCTGGCAAGTGAATAGCCAGGGCCCTGAGCCTGACCTGTCCTGGGAGCGGCGCGCCTGACGTGACTCTGCTGGGTGAGGGGTAATTAGCATGCACAGGAAACTCCCACCCGGGACGTGACCAGAGATGGATGGGGCGATGGAACCAGCACGCGGGCGTGCCTCTCTTCAAGCCTGGAGCATGAGAGTACGGTCGGACCGAGGTACCAGATCGAGGTCGGTTCGGGGAGGGTACCCTAACGTTCTTCGTGCCTGTTGGATGTTCTTGTGCATCTTGGTGGAGGGTACCCTCGAATTCTCTTCAGTCTGGCCGGCGGAGAGTCTCACGCTCTGGATGGACCCCGCCCTAGGTCCCGCCGTAGCAAGCCCCAAGAAAGCAGCCTTGTCTTCCTGTGTCGAGGACCACTGCCTATCCCCCAGGCAAGCAGTGGCGAAGCGTCCTGGCTCGCCTATAGGCCCACCAACGAATGTTCCAATAACATTCTTGTGGTCTGCACCAGATATTCTTAGAACATTTCTGGCTGGGCCTTTATTGTTTCATCACATCGGGTTCATGTTCTAAGAACATTGTTTTTCTCTTCGAACATTTTTGGGTTCTAAGAACATGTCGTGGTAGGCCTGCAGAAATGCTGGCACGGCCGGTCCCCGCTCAACACCAGCCCGTCGTTGACGGCTGTAGTCCAGAAGTTGACCTGTTGTTTGACAGAGTCATCGCCAAGATGAGGTGGACAGGGGAGAGGAATATTCAAAAATAGCTCAAACAGAGTATGGGGACGATGTTCCATGTTTTTCTGATATATATATATATATCGATGGATAGATAGATAGATGTATCATTTGTTTGGCTATCTGGGGTATTCGTTTGTTTTTTCAATCGCCCCAAACCCGCCTGTAGGGGGACATGCCCGACCTAAGCGTGGCACCCTCCTCCTCGGTGCCAGGTGTCATTGAGAGTACTGACGCAATCCTGAGGAGCTGCAGCGACCAGAAGGATCCTGTGTGCATTGGCAACGGGGGGCACAGACCTCCGCACTGGTTGGGACCAAGGGGTAGGGGGGGTCGCAAACCACAGGGGACAGAACAAAAGGAGGGGGGGAGGCCCCACCCATCGAAGCGCCACAGGCGGGCCCATCACTCTGACAGAGGCTCTGCTTGCGAAATTGCCTTGAAGTCCCCTACCACGATTCTTCTTGCGACACAGTCGAGCCTCCTCCCGAACGGTCGCCAATTCTTCAACGCTAGGTCTCCAGGGCCTAGCCAGGATACTATGAAAGAACGCTTTGGCAGCCGCAAGTCGAGCTCGCCCCCGACGGGGAAGAGGAGGAGAAGGAGGAGGAGAAGCAGGCGAAGAAGGAGAAGGAGCAGCAGCAGCAGCCCCTTCTCCTCCTCCTCCTCCTCCTCCTCTTCCTCCCCCTCCTGCTCCCCCCCCCCTGCCACAGGCGACGGATTCGGCGAGCAGGCGCTCGACGGACTCGGCGAGCAGGCGGCGTCGCGCGCGCCAGCGTGCCAAGCCTTTCTCCACGTTCGGCCTCCGGGGGCCCTCGCCAGGCCCCAGGGCCGTCCGAAGACGGCTCGGGGCGGAACGCCGGCCTTTGAGAGAAGGGGGGGCAGGACTTCGTGGGGGCCCCGCGCTGAGGAAGCAGTGTGCCTCGGATCTCAGGGCCCCCCCCCCCCCCTCCTCCAGGAGAGGACGGGGAGGAGCAGCACAAGGATGGAGGAGCACGGTGACGAGGAGGGGGAGGAGGAGGAGGAGGAGGAGGAGGAGGAGGAGGAGGAGCATAACAGTTGTGCCCCGACAATCCTGAATCGTTCCAAAACGCCATTTCGGGTACGTTGACCATGATAAGCAGTAACACTGCTTTGGACACTTAAGACGAATGTGAGGGGCGATGAGGCGAGAGCATCGTTTTGAAAACGAGCTGGTCTCAATTCGTGAAGCTTTTGCAACTTGTTAGAACGAATGTGCGCGGCGCGAAGGCGAGAGCCGCATATTCAAAACAACCCGCCCTCAATCCGTGACACCTTTGCAGCTTGTTAATAACAAACGTGCTCGGCGCAGAGGCGAGAGCCAAATTTCGAACCGCCCTCCACTTGAGAAACTGTTGCCACTGTTTCGGCATCAGGGTAATCAGTGGTGAGGAAGTGTCGGGCGAAACTCCCGGCCGGAACAGGAACAGAGGAGGGAGAGGAGGCGGAGGAGGAGGACACTGGGGCGGCGGGCTGGCGCGAGGGCCTTCTCGTCCTCCTCCCCCTCCCCTCCCTGCGCCTCTTCTCCTCGGCACGCTCACGGACGAGCGGGGGGGGGCGGCCGCGCGGGCGAGTCTCGGGGTTCCTCTCCCGCCTCTGGGGGGCGCAGCGCTGCGCGGGCGGGACAATGATTATTAGCCACGGCCTCGCGGTCCGGACGCCGTGGTCGCGGCCCCTGTGGGTACAGGGCGGGCGGCCTGGCCGGCTGCGCCGAGCGGAGCGTGTCCGCAGGACCGTAGATGCGGCCCTCGCGCCCCCCCCCTGGCACCGCTCGGACGTGTGCATGTTTGTTCTCGGCGGGGGCCATCCGGGACCATCTTGGACCATGGAGCAAAAAAAACACGCACGACACCAACAAATGCACGGGAAATGGACGTCCGAGCGATGGCGAGCCCACCCCTCTTACACGGGGGAGTTGTACATGCTGTACGTTTGGTATGCTGCTTGCCTGTTGAGACAGGCTGGGGCCGTCATGGGGCACCAGCCGCTGGGTGCGGTCCATGGGGCACCCGTGCGGCAGCCAGAGGTCGCCGCACATTGGGGCATGTCATATGGCACCAGCCGCTGGGTACTACCCACGGGGCACCCGTGCGGCAACCAGAGATCGCCGCACACTGGGGCATCGTAGAGCATCGTCCATCCGTGGGACACCAGGGTGGCAGCCAGACGTGGCACAGCACGGTGGTACCAAGGGCACCATGGGCACCAGTCGTGGGGCACCGTGGGGCGGCGATCAGAGATCGCGGCAGACTACGCGTGCGTCACCCCAGCATACTTATACTATGTGTGCGTCGCCCCCCAAGGGGCGACGCACGCACCGAGAAATCTGATAGTATATGCGTCGCGGCGGGCGCTTTCTGGCCACACCGCTCGGGAAGCGATCTACTACGAGATGGGTAATTATGCAGTGTGCTCGGGTCGGACGCGCGCCTCCAAGGAGGACAACTAGTTTTCGTATGTCTCTCTGTGTCCCAGACCTGGTCCATCAATCGGCAAAAGCCCCAGGACAGCACCACGGGGCACTCGTACGGCACTCTGAAGCGCGTGCTTTGGGCGCGTTCGGCAATGTCGGCGCGGGGGTCGTTTTTGCGGCGCCCGCTGCATTTTCGTTTGGTTCCAGAAGATTTCGCGCGGGCTTAGGGTTGGAAGCGCCTTGTCTGGCGGCCGCGAGAAACTCCCAACTGGCGTAGTAGCGTCATTGGCTCTCCTCCCAAAGCCTTACCACCAGGCAGAACTCACGACAGCTGGGGCCTCACAGGGCACCAGCTACAGAGCCCTCCGCCGGGGGGCACGCCAAGGCGGGAACCACAGAATCGGCACACTTGGGGCACAACAGGACACCAGCAGTAGTGCCCCCTTCCAGGGCACCAATGATGTTGAGGAGGATCGAGGGTCGAGCGCGGGGGAGGATCGATGATCGCGCGGGGTCGAGGCGAGGGCCGTCGTGTGATCCAGTCTGAACCCTCCATTCCTTCCGACCGTCCTGTCAGTTCCCCACGCATCCGATCTGCAAACGGTTATCATATGGTATATGCGATCATGCCAACATGTTTGTTGTGCGGTGTCTGCCACCAGACAACCTAATGTATATACATATTCATGTACCCACATAGAGGCAACAGGCACACAGTATATACACATGTATAGGCACACGTGTACACATAAAGTGGTACGCGTGCGTACATGCAACGTTCTGATACCTTGTATATATATAATATGAACATGCATCTGCATATGGGTATAGGTGTACATGTACATATTCATATCTCTATATATATATATATATGTGTATATCTCTCTTCTCTCTTGTATACAGGTGCATATACATGCATAATGCGCGCATGCATATCTATACATGTATACTCACACGCGCGCCTACACATGGCTGTATTACAGCTGCCTGCGGCCAATTAGCCCCCATGCCATGGAAGTACTCTGTGTGCCGACCCTGCAACCATCGGCCAGAAGGCCGTTACGTGTGATCAGTTCGTCTCGGCTTCTTCCCGAGCTCCCGTTTGGTCTTGGGATCATCTTGGGCTGTCTTGGGCAGCTGTGAGATACACTTGCGGGTCCCTCGGTGCCCGCTTGGGCCATTCGAGGATCTACGTATTCCGATTTGGAGGCTTTTTGGGGGGCCTCCTGGAGCAGGGCGTCTTGGTGGCCTCGCAGGGACTCCTTGGTCCTTGGCGCTCTTTGGGCTATCTCGGGGCGGTCCTGGACAGTCTGGCACCCTCGGAGCATGTCTTGGAGACCTGGCGGGCCGTCCTGGGGCTTCCTTGGGCCGTCTTGGAGGCCTCGCGTGCAATCTTGAGGGCCCGTCGGGCCGCCCTCGGGCCCTCTTGGGGGCCCCTGGGGCCATCCTGGGCCAACGGAGGCCCGATCGTGGAAGAGCGCGAGCGTCATTTGAGCACGCGGGGTCCTCGAAGCCCCCCTGGGGGGTCCGCTCGACGCCCTCTCTGGCCCCTGCTGTGGGCCCTCTGGAGGCGCTCGTCGGCCATGTTGGGGGGGGGGCCTTGGGATGGTCTCGGGGGCCTCGTGGGCCGTCTCGGAGGCCTCTGGGGGCCCTCCTGGCCGCCGCGGTGCCCTGCCTCCGTTTGTCCGGGGAGCCACCGTGGATCTGTCGGACGCCTTGGGGGGCGCCAGGGAGGATCCGGGGCGCCCGGGAACCTGTGGGGGAACAAAAACCAACAACAGACAACACACAGCAGCAAAAACACTGTGGGGGGGGGGGGGGAAAGCACACAAAAAAACACACGGGACAAAAAAGACAGCACACACGGAACAACAAACACAAAACAAAAAAAAATCACGGGGGGGGGGAAATACACAAAAGAAACACACAGGAGGAGGGATTCGGTACCAGATCATGGGAGCCGGGTGTCTTCCCGTCTTTAGCGTCGATTAGCGTCTCGGGGTCGATGAGATAGCGCAGATTTAGCGTGGGCTAGCGCTGACTAGCGTCGATTGGCGTCGATTTAGCGCTGACTAGCGTCGATTCGCACGAGCCGACAAGATGGTACAGGATGCTCCCGTGAGTTGAGGTGCGGGGATGCACGCAGACATCGGGAGAGGGGGGTATCCTTGAGAAGACTACACACACCCTGCCGCTGAGCATGTTGCATCCTACCACGCCTCGACGTGCCAGGGGGGTACCGCGGCGGATGTTCCCAAGTCGATGTTTTGCATCACTGGTGCTCACACGCATCTGAGTGGGTGTGGCGAAGCTCCGCCTGGTTCAGGGGAACAACAAGTGATAGAAACATAAAAATCTCGGAGCTCCGCGCGGATTCCTCGGATCGGCGCTGGGGCCCCCCGGCGGCGCCTCCGGCGCCGCCCCTGGCGCGCTCCGCGCGCCAGGGCGGGGGGTTCCAGCGCCGACCCGAGAAATCCGCGCGGAGCTCCGAGTTTTTTATGTTTATGCCACTCTTTGTTCCCTCGTGGCGGGCAGCCTTTGGGCGACCCGTGCGCTGGCCGGACGTGCCAAGGCTTCGCCCAGTGGGCGGCCCGTGGGCGCCCCGTGGGCGCCCCGAGCGCAGGGAAAAAAACACACACAGACACAATGAATCGTCGAGCCCCAGGAAAGTATGGGAAAATAGGAGAAACTACGGGGAAAATATATGGGAAAATATATGGGAAAATATGGAAGATATGGGAAAGTATAAGAAAATATGGGGAATCTGTTTCTTTGTGTGTATCTCTCTGTGTGTCCTGGGGCCCCTTCGGGGTGCGCCGATCCGATCGCCCGGATGGGCGGTCGGGGGCGCCTCGTGTGCGCCAGCGCGTGCTGGCCCCGGGGGGCGGCCGTGGGCGCGCGCTGGCGGGGCGCGTCGAGGTGGGCGCCTCGTGGGCGCCTCGTGTCCAGGCTTATGTCGGGCCTGTCCCCCTACGGGGGGAGCTTCGACGAAACATGAAAAAAAATACTTCAAAAACAAGTAATCAAAAAATGCTCCAAACATAGTCTGGGAGGTTTTTTTTTTTTTTTTTTTTTTTTGAATATCTTTTCTAGCCTTTTTGGAGCATTTTTATTGTATTTTTATGTTTTCGTCGAAAATCCCCTTGTAGGGGGACACGCCCGACATAAGTCTAGGCCTCCCAGACGGGGTCGGAGCAGATGGGGTCGGACGATCGCGCCGCGTCGCTGATGCATCGGCGAGGCAGCTCGATGTGGAGCCCGATTTCCTTCGCGTCGACGTCGCCGATGCATCGCCCACGTCGACGCCTCATCGCCGGTGCATCGCCGGTGCATCGCCGATACATCGCCGATGTATCGCCGATGTATCGGCGATGCGGCGCGGTCCTCCGACCCCATCTACTCCGACCCCATCTAGGAGCGCTCTACCGTGGGCGCCCAGGGCGCTGGCTCTGTGGCGAGGTCTCAATCGACGTGTCAGGGCAGGAGGTCTGTCAACCTCCGATCTGCCTGTGCCGCTGCGGAATCGCACCTCCAGGAGTGGCAACCGAGGTCCTGCCCTCCTGGACCCGACCGCGAGGGTCCCCGCCTGCCCAACCACTCGCCAGGGCCACGCCCGCTCGGGTCCTTGAGCCGCCCGCCCGCCCGCTGGGATTCGGGGAGACGCAGTGGCGAAGCGTGCTGGCTCGCCGATAGCCTTACCAAACAGGGTTCTACGAACGTTTTGTGGTTTCCACGAGATGTTCTTAGAGCATTTCTGGCGGAGTCTGTCTTGCTTGAACACATCGGGTTTATGTTATAAGAAAATTGTTCTTGTTCTTAGAACATTTGTGGGTTCTAAGAGCACTTCGTGGTAGGACTATAGGGATGCCGGGGCGGTCGGTCCCTGCTCAAGTTTCGCCTGGTGGCCAGCCGTGGGTGCTTCGCGGGCGCCTGGCGCTGCGCGCACGATGCACGCTGCTTGCGCTACACAGCTTGCCCAACGTCGCTCGCACCTCGAAGCTGACGCCCGAAAGTTTGGACCACAAACACCTTATACAGCTTGCACCAGAAAACAAAAAATCACCGCATAGCTTGCGCAACCTAGCTTCCACCGCACAGCTTGCACCACGCATAGCTGGCGCCACATTGCGCGCACCACATTGCACACTCCACGGAGCTTGCTCCCCCACTCGCTCCCTGGGCGTTGCGGCCTGATGGCGCAGGCTGCGCGGCGCGATCTCTACACGGCGCGCGCGCGCGACCAGGCGGGCTGGCAGTCCAGGGGGCACCAGCCCTTCGAGTCTGCGGCGCTGATCCCGGCGCTGTACGAGGCCTCGCCGCCGCCGCGGTCGTCGTCGCGGCCTGCAGCGGCGGCGTCCCTCGTCAGCGTCGTCGGCGTCGTCGGTTGTATCGTCGGTGGTGCCGTCGTCGTTGGCGTCGTCGTCGTCGTCGTCGTCGTCGTTGTCGTCGTCGTCGTTGTCGTCGTCGTCGTCGTCAGCGGCGCTGTGCGAGGCCTCGACGCCGCCGTCGTCGCTCGGGGGGGCTTGCGAGGGGTCCCCATGAAGGCACGGGGTCCTCAGGGAAGGTGGTCCCGAGGTTTTTTGCCACTTTTTTGGCCTCCCCTCGCCCTCCACGGGCCCCGGGAGCGTCGCAAAGCAGGTCAGGGTGAGAAGCTGGTCCCCGGGAAGCGCCCCGCGATCCTGGAGCAGGGGCCCTCCCCGGGCCCAGAGCCGTCAGCAAATCCAACCCAGGTAGGTCTCAAAAACTTTTTGTTGTGATGGGCTCTCTCTCTCTCTCTCTCTCTCTTTTTTTGCGTGGGCTCATTGCCGGATTGGGACCGGAAACGGCATTGGGAAAATAATTCGTCTCCCGCGGCGGCCCCTGCTGGGTTTCCTATGGGTTCCCAGGGGTCCCAGGAGTCCCCTAGGGTTTCCTGCTGGATTCCTAGGGATTCGTAGTAATCCCTGAGGGTTCCCACGGACCCCTAGGCATTCGCACGAGAATTCTCTGGGGACGTGACACCCTGGGGAGTCGTAGGCTTCCTCAGGGGAGGATTCCCTGGGAGTCCTTCGGGAAAGGGGTCCCGCGGACAAGGTCACGACGTCGGGGGGCGGGGCCGCGCAAGGAGGGCGCACGCACCGAGCCTGGGCCTGCCCAGCTCGAGCACGGCCCGAGGGCACGCGCACAGCTCGAGTGGCACGGGGCGAGGTCCCGGGGACCAGGGTTGAGGCGGGCCTGCCCCCCTCGACACGAGGAGTATTCAAAAATAGGCAGCAAGAGTTCTGGACGCCCGAAATGGGTACTGAAAGAATGGGTACAATGCCCACCAGCAGTTCATATTCATTTTGAACCGGATTCGCTGTCCACGCCGTCGCGGCCTGTGTCCATTCGAGACAGAAGGCCGCCTGCTAACAGCGACCGCTGTTGGTTTGGGACAACATTTGTTGTTGGGCATTGTACCCATTGTTTCCGTACCCATTTCGGGCGTTCAAAAGAGTGGTTTGGGGACGATTGTTCGAGTGTTTCTGGCCATTTTTGAACATGTGTTGACTCTTTTCATTCCTCGCCCACCGTCCGCCTGTAGGAGGGCATGCCCGACCCGAGACTAGGGCTGTGGAAGACGAGCCATAGGCATAGTGCGAAGTAGTTGCCGGACGTCTAAGTGATGTCCAAAAGCGTTTCAAATCACGTTTTAGCATTGACAAGCTGTATGGACCATGAAATAAGTTAAAACATTGTAGACATCTTGAACTCAATGATATGAAAGTTGGGGTGTCCACTATCGTGGCATCCAGAACAACAGTAGTGGGGGATATCTTCACCAGGGCCATGGACTCTCCCAGACTGCTCTGCTTTCAATGCGTCGCCTGGCCCCCCCCCCTCGTCCGCGCACACGTCTCGGGCCAAACGGCGCTGAGTCCCTCTCTTCCTGGCCCCCGTCTCGGGTGCATCCGAGCCGCCGCCGCTGTCGTCACTGGCGGTAGCGGTGCCGTCATCGTCGGCGTCGTCGTCGTCACCGCGTCGGCGTCGTCGTCGTTATCGCCGGTGGCGGCGTCGTCGGCGGAGGCGTCGGCGTCGCCGTAGTCGTCGGCCCCTTGCGGAGGCCAACAAAGCAGGTTGAGAGGGACAAGAAGGAACAGGGGGTAATAGGAGGAGGAGGAGGAGGAGGAGGAGGAGGAGGAGGAGGAGGAGGAGCTGGAGGAGGAGGAGGAGGACCAAGAGGAGGGAGATCAGAGGAAACCAACTGTGCATTAGCGATGCTGCAATGCACCCTTCCATCCCATGTTCCCTCCTCATATACCCCTACAAGTTCTCCTTCCCACTAAAGGAAACGCCCTCCAATGTCCGGCAAATTTGGGCCTGGCTATTTTGGCGATGCCCCAGCTTTGAAAAGGACCATCATCGTATCATCCTGGCGCGCAACTAGGAAGGCGAAAACTGCGGTCATACAGCCCAGCGAGATCCCTGCTTCGAAGCAGGACAGACCACCACCCGTGTGGTTGTCTCACAAGGAGGAGGAGGGAGGGGGAGGAGGAGG